GTCTCACATTCCTCTCTGCCACCCCAAGAACAATTCTTTAAACTAGTAGTTGCAGTTGATTTCATAGAAGTATTGTATACTTTACATAAATATGTTTTTGAAAATCTCCGCATATGTCACTCTCAAGGATATGCTTCATAAGAAACAGTGAAAGTGAAATAGTCCCTAATGGTTTCCTTGGTTAAGATAAATATAAGGAATCATTTGAGTTTTTCATTTGTACCAGGATCATCAAATTGCCTCACTGATTCTTTGGCTACCTGCCCGATTCTGAAGTATTCTGCACATTTGTATTTATTGATTTGGCAGCTTATTTGCCTTAGTTATCCCATAGTTATTTGGAGAGGTTTTATTGTCTTCTTTTATATTTTCTGTTTTACAAATAATCTTGATGACTTATATAACGTCTAAAAAAACAAGAGAATTAACATTTTGAAAAGTTAGTCAAGAGGGATAACTAAATTGTTTAGATAACTGTAGTGACATAGACAAGAGAAGAATTTCCAAAGGACATAGCTATTTGTTCCCAAAGCTCATATTCCTTTTCCATCTCATGAAAATAATTAAATATATATATAGAGATAGATAGATAGATTCTGAATATATCATACACACACACACACACACAGTTAGTTTTCAGGAGGAGTTTCTTAGATATAAGAAGAATCTTACAGAATTACATATGAACTTGGAAGAATTAGTAATACTTTGAAAACAATAGAGAAATGACAGTAAGAGTTAAAGAGGTAATTGAAATTTGTCTTTGATGTAAACAGTATCTAAAATGAATATTGTCAGTATCTGTTGGCAATATTTTAAAAATATTAATGATTATTGAAATTGAAAAATGTCAACACTATGAAATGAATACAAACTACTTCCCTAATGATGTTTTTTGTGGATGAGCATTTGTTTTGTATATTTTCTAGTTCTTACGTTTATATTTATCTTAAGTATTAACAAGTAAAGCAGTGCACAGAATTTTTAAATATAAAAAGGAGATGTTTGGTAAATTCAGAATATAATTGACCATTAAAATGGAAATGCCTTCTCTTATTAAACGAATAGGGAAATAATAACGTGCATTCACTGTGGCATGTCTTTACAAAGAAACATAGAATATTTACTTGAAATAATGTTGGTCTTCAATGTTGAAGTTTACAATTGAGAAAAATACAGAGATAATGTGGTCATAGCCCCAGGATGCACACAGTGGAAGCACTGTTTTCTCTTGGGTTATGAAACTATTTTGAAATCATTTTTTTTCTCCTGTGTCATCAAAGAAGAATTTTTGGCACCATCAGAATACTCCACCATTTGGCCTTGTAGACGCCAAGCATGCCTGGAGAAATGTGCCAATTGGTTGTTGGTTTTTGAAGTGTTCTGATCTCTGCTGAGTTACCCACTGGACTCAGAAGAGTCTGACCCACATGTCACATTCCAGCTGTTTGCTTGTTTGTTTTTAATCTAAATCTAGTTTAATTGGAATAAGGTGGGTCACCTTCCATGTATGTCAGCTGACATTTGTGTCGTGGAAACTGATTAAAGGGGTTGAACTTGAAATTGAAATGATAAGATTATGATTTAATGGGCCTTGCTTGTATGAGCTGTGTTTCTTTTTTTTTTTTTTCCTCCTTTCCGTACTTACCTTGTAAACAGGTTCCTTGAATTTTAAACTAAGAATCTTAATGTTTAGCACCTACGGAGCTTTTCTTCTGTGAAGCACAAAGCTATTTGGGATGAAGGCAGTAACTGAACTCCCAAATGGATCTATCATCGTCGTCATCATCATCATCATATCACTTACTATGTGCCAACTAGTATCCAAACTGCTTTCACGTATATTACCTCATTTAATCATGGAAACACACCTATGAATTTGGTACTATGCGTTTTTCCATTTTATGATGAGGAGACAGACACAAAAAGGCTAATTGACTTTCCCAAGAACATTCAGCTAAGGGGTATAGACAAGGTGCAGACACAGACACAATCATAGACAGACGAATTCTCTGACAATAGAGACCCTGCTATACTGCCCTGCAATACTCGTATGAATTGCAAATATGAAAATTATTCACTGAATCAACAAAGTGGATATAAAACTTTTTCCTAGATGATCTGGTAATTACTAAAGGCCAAAACAGCTATCAAGCAGCTTTGGTTGAAATAATTTAATTAATTCTTAATAATAGGTTCTCTTCTCCCTAATATAACAACAGATTCCTAATACTTGGGTGAGCAAATAAAAACAGAAGAAACAAAAAAGAAAATATTTTAGTCATTTCGGCCTATGGCTTCAATTTCATATTCCATAACTAATAATAATAAGTTGTACAATATTCACAGCTGTTAGGGCAGTCCAGAGTGGCTGGACAGAGAGTGACTATTTCATGATTAAAAATAAGAACAACAAAACAAATCAATTTCACTCAAAATAAATATTCTTTCTCAAGCTATCACTGTACATTTTAAATTCTTTCCAGAGAGATGTTACTGAATATATTTTAAAGAGGCTTGTCATAACCCAAATACCTCTAAGGTCATTGCATTGAATTCCATTTTTTTTCACATGGTTATAGTAGAACTTTGAGATTAGTAAAATCAAGATAAAAGTATGAAGCCTGGCTTTTGATACTTAAGAAAACATTTCTTCTAGGAAATCTTTTCCATTTAGTCCAGATTTATTCAGCACTCAACCCATGCTATGATATAGAACTAATCTAAGGGTAAGAAAAAAGATCCTTCTGTTAGACTTTGCGTGCACCATGGCAGAGCCCAGGAAGGAATCCCCCAGGTGGAGCAAACCCAAGCACTAAACAGCAGCAAGTTACTTGAGGGTCACACATAAATCTCCTTGAGGGAGAACTAGACAAAATCAGAGAGAGGGAGAAGGATAAGGGCAAAAAGTAGGAAAAGTAGGAACTGGGGTTTGAGGTAGGAGGGGAAGGTAGGAAGGGAACAGAGGACCAGGGGAGTACATGGAGTGATGAAAGGAGAGGGGAAAGTTCAAAGGAAGAGAAAGATAAGGTGAGAGAGGAGAGCCGAGTTTCGTTTTCTTACCCTATAAGTGAGCTTTAAAACCCTGAAGTGGACACTTTAAACATATAAAATGCAGGATATGGTAAGGAATACATTTGTAAATAATATAGACATAATAATAGCTTCCTGCCATGATAGCAGAGACAGGTCCCAACTACCTGAAATAATTTTGAATGTCTCTTTTTAGAGAGCGAGTAAAAATATCTATCTGCCCCAAAGTGGGCAGGGGAGGGGGGGTCCTATTCCTAATGGAACTAAATGGGGTTGAAAGCATTTATTGTGGATGCTATCTTTTTGAATCTTCATCACCCAAACTACAAACCTTTAACAGAGGCTAAGGACTGTTAGACTTTGGCTTGTCACCTATAATCCACTTTCCCACACATGAGGGAAGGAGGCTAGTATATTGTTAGGGGCCATTTGTTAACATGAAGAATTTATTGAAAAAAAGACAACTGATAATGTCTTCTCATATAATTTAGGTGGTAGCACATCTGAAATAGTGATATGATTTGAGTGTTATATAATCACTAAATGCAATTCTGGTGACTAGGTGTATGTATGATATCTATTATCTATTTATATATATATATATATATATATATATATATATGCAAATAGATATATATATATATATACACACACACATGTATATATACATGAATTCATATACAGATATCACTTAAAAAAAAAGATCAAAAGAGCTAACAATATCCTGACTTGATGACAGCTGAAGAACTGGTTGCTGCCTTCCAAGAGGGGAGAAACAATGTAAATGCCAAAAGGGAGAAACTGCCAGGCTTTGGAAGGAGGAATTGGGTTCCATGGAATCATTGGAGACGAGGAGCATTAAGCTATCTCAGAAAACTCCCTCCCAGTGAAAACTATTAGATAATGGAATCACTTCCCAAGAGAAATGCTAGAAATCCTATCACTGAGGACACTTGGAACTCAGCTGGACACTAAAGACATTCCATTGTCCCAGGCTTTATGCCCTTTTATGTCCAAAGTATGTTATTTGATGAAATATGTTCAAATCCTTTCTGTAGGGGACTATAGAGAGAGACTATGTACACACACACACACACACACACACACACACACACACATATATATATATATATATATATATATATGTCTAGATATACAGATATCATACATACATACACACAGATAGTCTATATATTCCATGTGTATATCTATGTTTTATATGTGTTACATGTGTGAATACATCCTATATAGTTGATGTGTGCATATAGTATATACATATACATGTGAACTAACATATATAGTCCATATATAGAGTTCATGTGTATATATATGTTATATATGAATATATATGTGTTATATATAGTCCATGTATATATATATTATACATACATACATACATGCATATAGTCTCTCTATATATAGTCCATGTGTGTATTTGTATATATCACACACAAACACAAACTACATATATATAAAACATATGTACACATAGGAGAGAGACCTTTGAGATTTGAGGGTTTTTTTGTATGTATGTCTTTAAACTTACAGTTCACAAATGAAAACACCAAAAACTGTGATTGATTGCTATTTAAAAAATATGTTAAGATAACAAGCCCCTCCATTTTCCTTCTTACACTAGTAATACCCTCAAGAGTCAAAAGCTCCCAGGTTTGCTTTCTCAGTTAGTACTTGCTGCCTCTTAGAATAAGCCCAACGATTAATCTAAAATTCCAACAAATGCAACAAAGAAAAGCACACCTGACGACCTAAACATGCCCAAATTCTCAGTGAGAACTTCAGGTTCAATGACCTAACTTTTCCTTGAGAGAAGAACAGTCACATTCAGAAACCCTCTGCCCCGGTGGAATGACGCATCCACTTCCTCCTAAACATAGATCACATTATCAGTGTTGCCAAATATATCAACAACTGCCTGGCTGTTGAACACCATGTTTATCTAATGGACCATAACAGACAGCGAGAACAAGCACAGTTGGAGACAGTGATCTCTAAAAGTATTTTCCAAACAAGTATGTATCTTTTTTGTTACTTTTTAGTTTTCCTTTTACAATTAGGAGGAAGAGGGTTATTAAACAAAACAGATACGAGAACATTTTAGATATCTCCACCGAAACCATTTCTTTCAGCCAAAATGTAAAATAATTTGGGAGAGTCATATTTTTATGTCTTCACATAGGAACTAGAACAGAGAGGAAAGGGAGCCATGGAGTGAAGTTTATATTGGACAGCCATCCGAATCTATTACAAATTGCATAGAGAAAATTCCTAAGGACCCCAGAGATAAATTCTCAACTTTTCCCCTCTACATAATGAAACAATTCAAAGCTGAGGATCACGATGGGGCCAAGAGGGTTTTATGTAGCTATGTGTGAAAAAAAAATAGAATTATACAAATTGTTTCACATTGTTAAATTTCAAAAAATAACACAAATTTTTATAAAATATTTAGAAAACATGGGTAAGTTAAAAGAAAAAAAGATCACATATAATCCTATAATGCAGAGGTCAATATATACTATTAAAATTTTGATTCACAGTTTTTCAATCTATATCCTGAAAACAGATATTTTACAAACAAAATAGAATAATTTTCTACATATAATTTTGCACTCTTTGTTTTTCATTACACACTGTATTGCACCCATAGTTTTCACGGCAGAAAGTAACTTTCTACAATACTTTTTCAATCGCTATATGATGCTCTATTACAGTATTGTCACTCATTGGCTTGCTGTTACAAATAGCCTGTGATGCACACTGTTATATTATCCATTTACGTATCTCCATAAATATTTCCCTAGAATAATTTACTTGAAACCTGTCGAAAGATTATAAAAACCAAAAGACTTCAAGACTTTGTAACATAAACAGTTAAAATATATTTTTAAAATTCTGTAACAATTTTCCTTCCTACCAGCAGTTTTGTTTATTATGTTTTTTGACAGAGTACCTCTCTGTGTATTTGTTTGTTTGGTTTTTTGCTTACTCAAACCTGTAAATCTTCTTTTATGATTGCTTTCATAGGTTCATGTCTAGAATCGCTTCCCCCCTCCAAGATTATTTAAACACTATATACTAAATAAATTATAAAAATTAATAGGAATATTAAAGGTGAACCTTTATTTTCTTTAAGTCACCTTATATAATATTTTTTAATATATCATATTGATATTACATTTAGAATTTATATTGGTGTATTGTATGAGATAAAATAGTTACCCAATTTTCTTACTACATTTGTTAAATAAACCATCTGGCCCTCATTGATTTGATGTGCAACCTCATAAAATTACTATACATACACTATTTTAATTTAATCTGTAAAATTATTATAACCACTTTTTCTCATTTCTCTAAAACACCCAGGGGTAGCAATTATTTCACCTGTGTAGGAAGCAGTTAAAGCTGAGCAAATTCTCATCTTCTATGTTTATGTGTTTTTGATTAAAATTAAAATGTTAATTTCCCTTCAAAAGCTTAGTCCTATCCGTGAGTGAGATGTAGAAATCTGTAGATGAAATCAAGAAGAGATATGCAGCAGCCTCACTAGAGTGAAGAGCCAAATTGCAAGAGAAAAATGTACCTTTACCTTAAGACCAATAAAGTCTCAGGTTTTCTCCCTTTCTCCCTGTCCTTTTGTGACATGGCATTTTAAAGAAGTGGTTCTCACGGTGAGGTCCCCTGATCAGCAGCATCTCCTGGGAATTTGTTGGAATCAGAAATTCCTACTAAATCAGAAATTCTGGGAGTGGGGCCCAGCAACCTATGCTTTATCTAGCCCTACAGGTGAAACTGAGGCACATGTAAGATTGAGAACCACTGATTTAAAAAAAAAAAAAAACTTTGTTAAAAAGAATCTGAATAGAACCCACAAAAAACATCATATCTTTATGGGATCCCAACCTTTACTGGGATATGTAATATAGATCATTTTCCAGTTGCTCTTTTCCCATATATTATATATTTAGTCATTTATTAAACATGTTTTATTGGTCTAGACTGGGGCTAGGTGCTGAGTATGGAAATTGACTATGTCAAAGCCTTTGCCTTCAGAAAGTTCACAATTTATGTGTGTATATACCGGGGGTGCCAAAAAATGTATACCAGTGGACACTTTGGTCAGCGTTGCTCAAGCAGTAGTTCGCCATAATCAGAAGTGTCTGGTTGCTGATAGGAACCACCTTGAGCACCTCTTGTAATTGCAGAAGTCAAATGTGACTTGTATTCATCCTTTGTAATCAGGATACACGTATATCAGGTATTACAATTTTAATACTTTTCTTTCTTAAAATGTGTACACATTTTTTGGCTATATACATAATACATAAATTATATATACATATATACATATAATGTGTGTATATATATATATATATATATATATACTGTATAGTATATATATATATATATGTGTGTGTGTGTATATATATATATATATACCTAAAAAAAGAAAAACTCTATAAAGAAAACTCATCTATTAGTTTTCTCATTTGTTGTTGTTTTTTTCTGTCTACAGGACTAATTAAAATAAATGCAATTATCTGGCTTCTTTAAATATAAACCTTTTTGCTGAAAGAATAATTCTGTGATAACTTGCAAGGTGAGATACTACAAAAACAATACTAAAAGTGTTTTTAAATTGAATTAAAAATTAGAAAGAACCAGACTTCGCGTCATACTAAAACAGTCAGAAAGAAGCCCAAGGGAGCAGTAGAAGAGTGGATGACTGTAAAAAGCAGAGGCTAGCATGTTGGTTTCAAAAAATTAGTATGGTTGACCTTTGAACAAAAGGCAATTAGGGGCACTGTACCCCACTCAGTGAAAAATCCGTGTGTAATTTTTTTTATTCCAAAAACTTACCTACTAATAGCTTAATGTTGCCTGGAAGCCTTGCTAATAACATAAACAGTCAGTCGATTAACACATGTTTGTATGTTATATGTATTATGTACTGTATTTGTATAATAAAGTAACCTAGAGAAAAGAATATGTTATTAAGAAAATGGTAAGGAAGAGAAAATACATGAACAATGTTTATTGAAAAAAAACCCACGTATAAGTGGACCTGCATAGTTCAAAACCATGTTGCTCAAGGGTCAACTGTAATTATAATGAAGGCTAACCAGGGTATAATTGGAAGGTGTAGCTCTGGGAAGGGAGCAGCCACATGGAAGGTAAAACAGCAACAATTTAGGAGATTTTCGGAGTAGATATAAGTAACAGATGCAGAAAGCAGATCATCTTGAGTATCTGAAACCCAAGAAAAAGAGATAACCACAATTATTTTTGAAAAGTAGGACTAACTGATAGGTGGATTTGTACTAATTATGTTACACTCTTAGTCTATCTCCTCTGAGTCTGTGGCTCTTTCCACAGTGAGCGAAGCAGTCACATTTCCCTGACACCAAACCTCCACTTTTCCTTTGGTCTCAGCTCATTACACACATCTCCTCCAGGGCACTGTCCCTGACAAATCCCATTCTTACCCTGATGACACGATGCTTCACCTGGTCTCTTATTCAAATAATTATTTTAATGATTACAGGAGACCCAGTGCTATTTTAATATCCAGTACAGGTTTATGAGTGACATAGTGAGGTAACTCCACTCAGCTTGCCCTGAAAGTAGCATGGCAGAATGATAGGAAAAGAAAGTGTTCTCTAGAATGTTCACGGAGAGACTTCCAACGGGGTATTTTCCATTCTCTGGAAAAAGACAATCTCTTCAGCTCTCAAACCTGATCACACTCCCCTGTCAGTCAATATTCCTTCCCCTCTTCACCTAGACAATTCCTACTCATTCTTCAGATAGAAATCCAAGTGCCCATTCTGCCATGCAGTCAATTCTAATTTGTTGTACAGTTCAAATTCTCTTTGCTCCTGTACTTCTCTTCACAGCAAGTGTTACAATTTAACTGTATATATATTGATGTGATTAAAATCCATTTACCCAATTTGACTTTTCACTTCATGTCTATTTTTGCTCACTTCTAAATCATCCAAACCAAGGGCTCTGTGAAGCACATGGTGGGTGCTAACAAAATGTTTAAATATTTATTGAATGAATAAATGACTGCTCATGTCCTTGAACAAGTAAAGTAACCCTCTTTCCCCTGGAGATCTTACTTATTGTTCTGACTAGCATATTCTTCCCTTGAAATCCATGACTTGGTCTTGTGATTCCATTAGCAGCACTGTCAAATTATCAATGGGGATCTTTTATCCTATTATTTTAATACAAAAAGCTACTTCTCTTCCCCATATTTCTTATATGTACTGATTTACTGGTTGTCCCCCACCCTCATAGAATAAACATCCATGAAAACAAGAACATTAGCTTGTACACTACTATAGTTCCAGCTCCTGGTTTTGTGTTCACATAAAAAAAAAGAAATTTTCATCTCTTCTATATTAGAATAACTGAGGTAGACCAGCACAGAACTAAGGTACCCTAGAGTCTACCAAACTGATAGTCAGTAGCCAAAAGAACAGGAATAGCAGAGAGCAGACTAGGGAAGTGATATGTAGAATAGATGTCTCACATGTTTAACCATTGCAGGCAATGCAGATGACATCTCAAGATTTGGAGAACTGACTAGTGTGTGCGGGTAGGGCAGGGAAGTCTTTTTCTGTTATGGGATGAATTGAGTCCCCAACATAATTCATATGTTCAAGTCCTAACCCCCATTACCTCAGAATGTGACAGTATTTAGAGATAGGGTCTTAAAAGAGGTAATTAAGGTTAAAATGAGGTCATTGGGGTAGCCACAAATCTAACATGACTAGTGTGCTTATAAGATTACAACACAGAAGAAAGACCATGTGGATATAGAAAGAAAAGATGGCCAAGGAGAGAGGCCTCAGAAGAAATCAACCAACCCTGCTGATACTTCGATCTCAGGCATTTAGCAGCTAGAGGCATGAGAAAATAAATTTCTGTTGTTGAAGCCACCCTGTCTGGTATTTTGTTATGGAAGCCCTAGAAAGCTGATTACTAATATACGCTCTAT